ACTTTAAATCTGGTGTCAGCATCCTTAGTCATCAGAGAAATGCAAATCAAAACAACTCTGAGATTCCATCTTACACCTGTAGGAATGGCCAAGATCAAAAACACTGATGACAACTTATGCTGGAGAGGTTGTGGGGAAAAGGGAACACTTCTTCATTGCTGGTGGGAATGCAAGCTGGTACAACCCCTTTGGATGTCAGTGTGGTGATTTCTCAGAAAATTAGGAAACAACCTTCCTCAAGACCCAGTAATACTACTTTTGGGTATATACCCAAAGGATGTTCATTGTGCCACAAGGACGTGTGCTCAACTATGTTCATAGCAGCTTTGTTTGTCATAGCCAGAACCTGGAAACAACCTAAATGCCCTCCGATCAAAGAATGGATAAGGAAAATGTGGTACATTTACACATTGGAGTACTACACAGCAGAAAAAAATAATGACAGCTTGAATTTTGCAGGAAAATGGATGGAGCTAGAAAACATCATTTTGAGTGAGGTAACCTAGACACAGAAAGACAGTCATCACATGTACTCACTCAAAGGTGGTTTTTAAACATAAAGCAAAGAAAGCCAGCCTACAAATTCCCAGAGAATTTAGACAACTACGAGGACCCTAAGAGAGACTTACATGGATCTAATCTACATGGGAAGTAGAAAGTAGAAAAAGACAAGATCTCCTGAGTAAACTGGGAGCTTGGGGACCTTGGGGAGGATTGAAGGGGAAGGGGAGAGGCAGGGAGGGGAGCAGAGAAAAATGTAGAGCTCAATAAATATTAATAAAATAAAATAATAAATTTAAAAACTGGTGTCAGGGCCTTGCCAAGACCAACATTAGGAACATAGTGTAGTAGATTGGGTTTTTTTGTTTGTTTATTTGTTTTCAAATAGGGTCTTGCTATGTGTCACTGACCGGCCTGAAACTCACTATGTGGACCAGGCTGGTCTCAAAATCATATAGATTAGCTTGACTCTGTCTCCAGAGTGCTGGAATTACAGGTGTGTACCACCCCCGACTCCGCTGCTCATACATGTCATTGAACAAGTTGGAGTTGTTGTTGCTTGTTTCAGCTTAGACAGACAGAGCCTAGAGGAAATGCGCACCACAAGGGGACCCAAGGCAGCTCAGTCAATGTGCAAGGTGTGAGCTCCTGCTTTGGTCTTTTGAGGGAGAACCCAAGAAAACAGTTTGCTCTGACTTGGTGCTGCCAGAACGCAGGGACAATTTACACTTGGGTATCTCGTCAACTCTCTCCTAAGAGGGAGCTGGCGCAGGCGTGGCCATGGGCTGGAGAAGAAGCTGCCATCACTCCTGTTAGCACAGAGTTATTTTATTTGTATTTATGTGTCTGTGTTGTCTGTCCACATGCATGGACGTGCCCTCAGAGGCCAGAGGGATTGTGGGAGTCTTTGGAGCTCAGGTCACAGGTGGTGAGCTGTCCAGGGTGGGTGCTGCGAACTGACCTGGTTCTCTGGAAGAGCAGCAAGCATTCTTAACTGCTGAGCCATCTCCGCCTTTTAAAACAATGATAAAATTTACGTAGCCTTGGCTGGCCTCGAACTCAGAGCTCTACCTGCCTCTGGCTCCTGAGTGCTAATATCAAAGGAGTGTGCCAGTGTACCCAGCCCCTTTTTATGATTGTTCTTCGGAGACAGTGTCAAGTTATGTAGGTCTGGCTGGCCTAGAACTTAGAGTGGTCCCCCTGCCTCTATGCCCAAGACTGGGATTACGAGTAGACACCGCACTTAGTGGTCTTGCCTTTTCTCATGTGACAATACTTCCTAAATAACTGTGGGGCTGAGCAGCAGTTAAATCCAGTGCTGGGATTATAGGCCTGCAACACCAAGTTTGCGTCAGAGATTAATCTTTTTTGGGATGCAGGGGAGGGTTTGAGACAGGATTTCTCCATATAATGGCCCTAGCTGTCCTGGAACTTGCTTTGTAGACCAGGCTGGTCTCTGACTCATAGAGATTTCTTTTTTTTTTTTTTTTTTTTTTTTTGGTTTTTTTTTTTTTTTGTTGTTT